CCCCAAAACCCCAAAACCCCAAAACCCCAAAACCCCTATAATTCATAAGCTTCTTGAAATTAATCCAAAAATATTAAAATGGCTAAAGAATTGAACGTTATACAATGTATTTTGAATGAATGGAAGAAAGAAAGCGAGTAAGTAGCTTATAAAGTCTATTATAACTACTCCACTACCATGTGTAGCTTGGGGTTTACCCTCTCTTAGGCTTTAAGAGTTTGGACAAAATTCTTACTAAATTCAGCCAATTTAAGGCTTCTAATACACCGTATCCTATGACTCATCATTTTTAGAGATCTGTCAGAAGCAAGCTCAAACAGAAGGTAGACTCAAAATTTGTTGTTTCATCTTGAACACAAGCAAAAATTTGATATAGCAAAAGCCAAGACCCTATTTCACGCAAAAACTCTAGAGAAATGGCAGACTTTAACACACAGCCTTCTGAGTAAGTCAAAGCTAGTCAACATTCCCATTCGTCTAGAGTTGAGCTTGAGAGGAAAATGTTTCAAAGGAATGTAGTAACTCCAGTGGCTGGACATGCCACTTACTGAGAATTACCTACACCAGAAAAACCCATGCTTTTCAGCTCAAAGATACATCAGTCTCACTCAATGGAGAAAGACAGTAGATCCTTCTCTTCTCAAAGATGGTCAGAGCCAAAGTAAGAATCCAAACTTGAGCCATAGGAAGCGAAGGAACTCTTCGACTAGGAAGGCAAACTCAACTGGTAGCGACAGCGAAGACTACTGTACCCAAATCAAAGAGGAACTATCTAGCTTTGAAGGAAAATAAGATTATAACCGCAAAATGGAATTTAGACTCAGAACCTTTTAAACCTGCTTCTTTAAGAACCCCCAAGAAAGCGCCTCTACAACCAGCTCAGAATATTTGAACATCCAAACCTACTCAAAAAAAATCACTAGACCAGCTCTCAACTCAGGTTGTCCAAAACCAAAACTTCCAAAAGGTATCTTCTGACATTTATTAGTCTCTAATCCCTTCACACAGACCCCCAACAACCAAACCTCAAGGTAAACCCACCAAAAACTCTCTAGAATATACCAAGACCTAATAATATCCCACTGCCTCACCGAAATCTCTTCCAGACCCCCTCCTCTCCCTCACCACACCCTGCTCAGCCTCCTCGAAGAACATCACAGCTATAAATCCACCCTAAAATCCTACAGAACCCACCTTTCCTTCCTGCCTTCTTCCTCAAAGCCCATTGGAGGGACCAAAATTTCCCTTAAAACTCACCTAAAAATCCCCAAATTTTTACACAAGTTCTTGCACCCTCACCTGCAGCCTCTAACAGTTTGTCAGAAAGTTGATTTTTTCTTCAGAAAAACGTAAGTTGGATAGTTAAAATTTGACTGGGTTTAGCTAGGAGGATTGGGTGTCTGGTCGGAAAGCCGGTCCCTTGTGCTGTGAAAGTGGATAACTTTATGAGAATGTCAAGCTTTTCAACAGTATACTTCACAGAGGAAGAATATGCACAGTTATAGGAGACTGCTTTAGAACTCTTGATTTTGATGGAAAAGTTCTGGAAATATCGATCCTCTCTATTCACGAAATTAGTAAAGAACTTGCAATCAAATTCATAGAAATCCTACCGAAAATGGTAAGGCTTTGGCCTAAATATAGGATTTGCTCAACGACCCTGCTGGAAGAGCCTGCAGATTGGTAAATATCACGATAGAGGACATACAAGAGCTGTTCCACAGACAGTTAGTGGACTTGAAGTGCTCAATCATGGAATTTCTTACTTCAGATTAACATCTCAAAATCCAGCTTAAGATCAGCTCATAACTTTCAAGTTCTTAGTTATCAAAAGGGGTTTTGGGGTTTTGGGGTTTTGGGGTTTTGGGGTTTTGGGGTTTTGGGG